TAGGAAGACGAGGCCGGGTGCGAACTTCCCGACGGACGACCGGAAGAGTTAGCTCGCGCCCGCCTCAGCCCCTCAGGCGAGCACAGGGCCCCTCCCGGCAGGCACGCCACCAAGAGGGGCGCACCGCACCACCGCAGGGCGCGGGGGCGCAGCGTAGCGCAGCGCGGGTCAAGGCCGCCCGGGGGACGACCCCGGCCGTCCGCTCGCTCATTACCCTCACGATCAAAGCCACCACCTCCGCCTCTCTCGCTCGCGGCCACGACGGCCTGCAGGCGCCGCCCTGGCCCTCCTCAACCCCTCCGGGACGGGCATAGGCTATGCAAAACTCACTCGGGGCCGACAGGGTCGAGAGCCGCCGAGCTAGAGCGCACCGCACCCCTTACCTACCCCCTCCTCCCGAGCGCTATCAGCACGGTGCTTTTGCGCTACAACGGTCTCCCCCTCCCCGCCCTCCTCGCGCTATTCAGCAGCAGCAGCAGCAGCAGCAGCACCTGGGTGGTGGCGCGGCGCGGCGGAGGCGCGCGCTGACACAGCAGCACGGCGGCGTGGGAACGGAGCGCGGCGGCTCGGCCGAACACGTGCAGCAGCGACGCGCACTAAAAGTGTCAGGGCGCGCTGCACCTGACTGAACCGGAGCGCCGCCGCGCCACGCCGCGCCATTCGCAGCCCCGAGCACGCCGCGCGCCTCCGCCCCGCCCTATTCAAATACACGCAGAACGCGCAGGTCGCCGCCAGGGCACGCGGGCGCCAATAGGAAAGAAATAGTGAGAGGGAGCGGGAAAATGGATCACAGTCGGGGCAACGGCACGGCACGTCCCGCGTTCGTGTCTGCCCCGTTGGCGACGAATGCGCGAAACACGGGAGGATGGGAGGAAGATAGGGAAGGGGTGGGACACGGTGACACACCAGGTAGACACGAGAACCAAAGAGGGAAAAATATGGTCGAGAATAAGAGGAGAAAAGCGCGCGACACCTGCTAAAGAAAGGAGGAACGGCGGCGTCGGCGATGAGAAATTTATGACAGGCGGTCATAATTCTGACGGGGTCAGTCTGTGCCTAGCCGGCCGGGGGAAGAGCGCCACGGCAAGTGTGACTTTTCCCACCGCGACCGAAATTCGGAGTGAG